TTTTTTTTTTTTTTTTTTTTTTTTTTTTTTTTTTTTTTTTTTTTTTTTTTTTTTTTTTTTTTTTTTTTTTTTTTTTTTTTTTTTTTTTTTTTTTTTTTTTTTTTTTTTTTTTTTTTTTTTTTTTTTTTTTTTTTTTTTTTTTTTTTTTTTTTTTTTTTTTTTTTTTTTTTTTTTTTTTTTTTTTTCCTGCTAAATCTTGGCCTCCTAATTTTTTCCTCCTAAACCCTGGGTTCCTAATTTTTTTGCTTCTATTTTTTTTTTTCCTCCTAAATCTTGGCCTCCTAATTCTTGTTCCTAGATCTGCACTCGTAATTTTTGCTCCTAATTTTTGTTCCTAAATCTTGGCCTCCTAATTTTTCCTCCTAAACCCTGGACTCACAATTTCTGCTCCCAATTTTCACATCCAAGTCTTGGCCTCCTGATTTTTGCTCCTAACCACTGGGCTCAAAATTTCTGCTTCCAAGGCCTGGGCTTATAATTTTTGTTTCTGACTCCCAGACTTCTAAATTTTTTACTCCTAAACCCCGGGATCCAGGAATCCAGGGGCAGCCACTGCTTCTCCAGGCACCCCGTGCCAGTTTTCCCACCATTTCCCTCCCGTGGATTTACCAGGCGAGCACCCTGTGCCTGGCCATGACCCCTGACCCTGCTCATCCCTGGGGATGCTGCCCCTTCAGGCCCCAATTAATCCAGGGGGGATTTAATTGATCCCTCATTTCCCTCCCCCTGCTCCAGGTACGAGTGTTTTCCTAACCCTTCCCATTCATCCAGCCTTGTTTTTTCCAGAGTGGGGCTTTTTCCACCCCCCCATCTCCCTGTGCACAAACAGACAAGACAGCTTAGGAGCTCTTATCTGCAAAGGGGAAAAAAAATCATCTTAATCCCCATTTAATAACAGAATATCAGCAGGTAACATGTTCAATATGGCAAAAGAGCCCCAGCACCAGGTCAATAGGGGAGCTATAATTTTGAGCAATAAACAAAGCCTGCTTTTAATTACTTCTGTGAAATTGCTTGATCCACGCATGATTAAATATTCATTCTGTGTAACCAGACAGTTTCTTTGTATATAGATCCATATTAAATTTACTTGGCGGCCTGCCCACACAACACATCTCATAAATTCCTTTTAATGTGCTGCAGCTTTGAAGACGTTTTTCCCTCCCCTTCCCTCCTCCCCCCCCCACCTCTCAGCTCATTTGTATAAAGAGCTGATGTCGCTGCCTTACCTGGGCAGGATACACATGGAATGCTTTAGGAAGGGAAATGATGGAATCTGGGGGGGAGACACGGGGGGGGGGGAAAATCAACCTCCTGGATGGCTCGGGGATGGATCTGCCTTGGGGAAAAAGTGACTCCCAGCCCTTGTTTTTTCATGGCCTTGCCATTAAGTACTTTGGCAGCGTGTGCAGGAGGGAAAAATCTCCCTCCTTTTAAAGCAGAGCCAGGGCTGATGTAAATATTTATGTAATATTTTATTACGATCTGAATTTATTCCTGATTGAAAACATTTCCCAGTAACCTCCTGGAAAATCAAATTAATGTGTAATTGGAGGGTCTCGGTTTGGGGGTGTTTTGTTTGATTGGAGGGGTTTTTACCAGGAATGTGCTGGCCAGAGGTTGGCTTTGGGGTTTGAGGTAACCCCCATGGCTGGTGGATGTCCATGGATGAGCAGACCTTGCCTGGATTTAAAAACACGGGAAAAATAATACCTGCATCCTTGGGACATCCTGGGCCTTCCCAGCTCCACCCTTGCAAGCAAAATCTCCTGATTTTAGGGCCTCCTTTTATTGTCTTGAGGGCTCACTGATTGTCAGCAAACACCAGACCTGGGTCCCTCAGATGCAGCCCATGGTGGGGACACTTGGGGGTCTCATTGTCACCCACCCGTGGGGGCTCCAGTTCCCATCACCCCCTGGGGGTCCCTCCACCCACCCCTGTTTGCTTTCCCACCACCAACCTCTTTGCTGATACTGCAGATGGAATTAAAGAACCAGCAGGGTTTAAAATTCCAAATGTATTTGTTCCTGTCGTCGAGGCTCCATGGCTTTAATGAAAACTAATTCTGCAGAACATAATTACTCCCCGGGAAGGAAATCTCTCAGACAACCCACTCTGCACCGACACAACTCCACCCAACCCTGCCTCCAAACAGGAGCAGGGGGTTCAGAGCCCCCCTTGCCCAGGGGGTGGGGCTGGGGGTGTGCAGGGTCCCAGCAGGGAGCTGCTGCTCCCAGTCGGGTGGGATTTAGGAACAGTCCAGTTGGTGGCTGAACTCCCACGATTAATGACCCAGCCGGTGTTTCAGCCCACGGCTCGTTCCCCGTTATCTCCCGTGGCAGCAGCTTCTATCAAAGCCTTTCCCTGCTTTCCTCCCCTTTTCAGTCCTAATCTCACATTCAGGATTTTCCCGTCCAAACAAAAGGCTGTTTCATCTAGTGAGGACGCCACTAATGTTTGGGAAGCATTATTTTTATTGCGTGGAATAAAAAAAAAAAAAAAAAAAAAACACACAAAAAAAACCCAAAAAAACAACCCTCGTGAATTCCTTGGAGACCCAATACTTCAAGCTGGGGGAAGGGAGTGCTTTTAAATTTCAAATCAGGGAATCCAGGAGTCCTAACGAGGAGGACCCGGCACCAAACGACGAGGCAAGCCAATTAGCTGGCTTTAAAACGTTGTATTCATTAGGCTGAAAATAAAGCCAAACTTTTTAGAGATAATTGCATCTTTTAAATATCCTTGTTCTGGAGCCACGCTCGGCTCATAAATATGCATTATTGTATAATTCTGAAAAAAAACCCCACTACCATTAACGAGGCACGAAAAGGGCGTGAGGTGTTTGAATTTCTGACAAGAAATCAAACAAGAGAAGTAACAAAAATGAAGAGATTTGCCTTAAAAAGCCCAGCCTGGCACTTCCCTGTCCCTGATGTGCCTGAGCATCCCGGTGTGCCCAGGGCTGGATGTGGTGAGTCCTGGGAGCTGAGATCCTGAGGGGATGGGCTGTGCTGGATGGATCCAGCAGCTCCCAGGACCTGGATCTGCTCTGGGAATCACCTGTGGATTGAGGGCAGGGATTGCTGGGCTGGCAGCGTCGGCTCTTGGGGCATCACTGTGGGGATTCACCTGTCCTGTCCCCATCCCATCCCATCCCATCCCATCCCATCCCATCCCATCCCATCCCATCCCATCCCATCCCATCCCATCCCATCCCATCCCAGTGATGAGTCTGATGACCCCTGTTGTTTGCTCTAAATGTTGGATTGGAGGGGATGTTAAAACTCATCCCATCCCACCTCACCTCCCACCAGCCCAGCCTGCTCCAACCTGGCCTTGGACACTCCCAGGGATCCAGGGGCAGCCACAGCTTCTCTGCCCAACCTGTGCCAGGGCCTGCCCACCCTCCCAGCCAGCAATTCCCCATCCCTCCCTGCCCTCTGGCAGTGGGAAGCCATTCCCTGTGTCCTGTCCCTCCATCCCATATAAATTCCTGAGGATGGGTCTTTTCCAGTGCCTTTTGCTGCCCCAGAATGTTGTTTCTCTCTCTCCACTTTGCTGCAAAATGAAGGCTGAGAGGATTTATTTCGTTCCCAGACGAGACAGGAGTGAATCAATGCAGGGCTGATATTTCAGGCACATAAAGCACTGGCAGCAATAAATTCTCCTCCCGTTCTGAGTGGGAGCTGGAGGTTCAACCTGCCGAGGTGGCACCACGTGCCCAGGATCCACAGCACATTCCTGCTGTGTCTGGTCCCTCATTATTCCAGTAATAAGTTGTTGTTATGTGATAAAACAGGATAATTACCAGCCCCCTTTGGGAAGGCAGCCACGAGCAGCAATTGCAGAATATATAAAGGATTAAATGAATTTTCTGCCAGTTTGCTTTATTTTCCAATCTCTTCTGAGGTAAATTGGTTCCTGCAGCCCCTCCCATTTTTATTCTTTCTGGGCTTCGTTAAGAAAAGGAAACTTCAGGATTGAGCATCTTGTCTGGGGACCCCCAGATGCTGTGTGGGATGGGAATGTGCCATTCCCTGGGAGAAGGACAGTGCTCAGCAGCTCCAAGTGTTGTGTCCAACACCATTTTCAGCACCTGGATAAGTTTTTTCTCTTCTTTCTGCTGTTTTGGTGCCTCCAAAAGGGAGGGTTTCTGCTGAGAGCCTGGAGTCAGGCTGGGCTGGGGCAGGAGCAGAGGGAATGTGGGATGGCAGCACCTGGGACCACTCCCTAAATTCATACAACCATCAGATCTCAGAACCCTGGAGGGGTTTGGGTTGGAAAGGACCTTAAAGCTCATCCCATCCCACCCCCTGCCACGGGCAGGGACACCTTCCACCAGCCCAGGTTGCTCCAAGCCCCGTCCAACCTGGCCTGGGACACTCCCAGGGATCCAGGGGCAGCCACAGCTTCTCTGGGCAACCTGTGCCAGGGTCTGCCCACCCTCCCAGCCAGGAATTCCTTTCCAATGTCCCCCCTAACCCCCCTGAAAACGAGGCTGTGAAGTCCAGCAGCTCTTCCTGGGCTCTGTGCCGTGGGAAATGCAGGGCACTGGGGTTTAATAACCAATCCAGGCTGGATTTAAGCTGTGCTCCCTGGCACTGCAGCGATGATTCGCCAGCTCTGTCCTTACCCTGTGTGCAGTGGGATTTGCAGGAGCAGATACTCCTGCAGCAGAAAGCTGCTGGTTCCCTGCTCCTGTCAAACCCATCCTTAGCCTCTGTGCCTCGTGGGTCAGCACCGGGGCAGGACCCACCCCCTTCCCCTCCCCTGCAATGATTAACCCATCGATCAACAGCGCCTGTTTAATATCTCTCACTATAAACACTCGCTATTTGCAAGCCCAGCCAGATGGGCAGATAATTTAAAACAGGACTTCGAATCTATTTGAGTTTCTAGAAGCCTGACTTTAAAAAAAAAAA